TGCTCTTTTTATCATTGCTATTTTTTATGTATTTTTTAAGGTAAAAAAAAAAGAAACTTCATTTTCATTTGCAAGTTCATACTGTCCTCCTAAATAGAGATCCAAAATTGCTGTTGAACTTTTTTTCCACTTTATATAGTCTAAACCCCATTAGCATCAAACAATCAAATAGTTCTCAGATTCACTTTCTGATGTTTCTGTTATCAGACACTTCCAGCTCAAATATTTGGCATTGCAGCATAAAATACAGAAATAACTGGCATCTAAAAATAGGGTATCTATAAATCGTATCAAATGCGCTCAAGTGGTATGTTGATGGGGGTGCCGTTCGTGTAATTGAAACTCTGGAGGAGCTGAATGGTCATTGTTCCACAGTGTGAAGCATTCTTTGGTCGAGGGTTGTTTTCCCCTGTGATTTGATATGCTAAAGCCTGCTACCATTATTCCACGACGAGGAATGTTAAGTATTTTATGTTTGTTTTTTTTCACTGGAACTCTGTGGGAAAATTGCCTCTCTCCTTTTTTTTCCAGAAGGGGGTTGGGCGTTTATCTGGTAGAAAGTGTAAACAGAAGCCCAACCCTCTGATTACAGGCTTGGGTGAATTAATACGTGATACTTTTTAGATAGTTGGGCATGTAGACCCTCTATCAGGTTACCTTGACCATTAATGACACGGATAGACCCTGAGATTCAGTGCTGAACTTTTCACAAGCTCAGTGTAAAAGTGGGAGGAGAAAATGGGCTTTTCCCACACCCAATGTTTAGTCGTGCTAACCCAGTCATAAATGAATCCTTAAATTATTCACCATTTTCTAAGTCATCATGCTTAAAATTTTCACCTGGTGGACTATAAAATGAACATTAAAATCCCATAACCGTACATTGAAGGAGCCGTATCAACAGACCAGGATATTATAGAGACTTTGGGATGAGCTTTTTAATCCAAACCAACTTGAACCAACCAGAACACCCTACCGACTGCACATCAACATGCTAAGACATTTAGAACACCTTATCAACTGCATAGTGATGCCCTGGTATCGTAGCATCACATTTCATACAAGCAAAGATCCGTTTCACACAGAACATTTTTATTCGAATGCACAAATTTTCCATTGTTTTTCTATGTAAACGTGTTAGACAGACATTTTTGACTGTTGCGTGTGCTTCTTGCATCTTTTGCAGCGTCACCCACATGATATGGCGTTCTAAAAATGCGGTGCTCAAGTTAAAAGAAGTTCAGCTTTTAAAAATGCATCTGGAGACATTGCTTTATTTCCAACCCCATCTCACAAGAAAACAACTATTTTATGAGGAATTTTGAATGAATTTGTATGATTTGAATTGAACGAAAGTGTAGTTTTTTTAGATTGTACGAAATCATATGAATGAGATTGTACGAATTCATATGAAATAGCCACCAATTCGCCAAAACTTAAAATATGAATTTCCATGAGATTGTGTTGGTTTTTCCCACATTCCACTGTTCATGTCTCGCGTTATTAACGGCAAAAATGCGGAGAATGGCAATTGAGGGACATTTGCAAAGCATCTTTGGCTTGAATCACTACATGCCTTTAGCTGAATTCAAGGTGTGTATTCTGTGCACATTAACAGTGGGTCCCCTACTGTCTTACTGACGGGGGCAAATTAAAGAAAAACTCTTTTGTCCTCCACTAAAATCTGATACTGAGCCAAGCCTCACAAGGTGGAGTGGACGTCAGTCGCCCTCCCCCATCACCTCTTCCAGTCTGTCCAGCTGATCTCTGGCAGTCAGGTCAGTGCCCAGGAGGTCCCCGTTCGTCTCTCTGCAACACAATGCGTCTCCCCGTCTTATCTCTTATCTCAGCTCCACATCTAATGTATCACTGAGTTTCAGTGTCATAGACCCCACACATGCTTGTTGTTAAAAGAAAGAGCAGAAAAAAGGATGAGAAAGCAGCTATCCTTTTTTCAATGTTATGATGTAGCAAGCCTCAATATATATACCATAATCTGTCAGAATGAAAATTGTTATAATAATTTTATAATACAATTATATTTATAATATGTGAGTTGTGGACGGCCTTGAAATCATTGGAGGTCATTATTTTTACAATGCTGTCTTGTGCTGCAAGTGGCATAGAAATTAAACATTTCACCTTTAAATTGAATAATTTAATCTACTTCTAAAACTATGCATCTGTGAATAATGTACCATATTATTGCATAGATTCTCATTATAATGTAGTTCAGTATGTGTGTGCAAAATCCAAGAACCCGTGACGAAACATGTCAGAGAGAAAAGATTAAATAGACTCATAATCTACAATCACACTCTTTTTGGCTCATTAGTAGGACACTTTTTATTATCACATTATCACATTTTGTAAATCCATCGCAATAACACACATTCATTTTATCTGTTCAGTGTACTGCTCATGTGCATTCACTCAGTTTTGGATGGGTGAAACAAGCAAATGAATCATTCCGTCACAATGGCAGCGTGGCTTCCGAATCCACGGAGTGAGGCAGAATTAGGAATAATGAGAGGAAACAGAATGAAAATGAGATTTTGGAGCGAGTTGGATTTGTATTAACATGGCCAGTAATTTAACCAATCATGATAAGACATTCAAAAGGGATTTTGAGGCCCTTTGTCATTTGTAACAATAGCAAGAGTAAGTACACATAGAGCGATTGAAATAGTGAAAACTAAGTGACTAACTTCACGCCTGAACTCTCATGGGGCTTTCTAATCAAGGAAAGTTTATTTTTTGTTACTTTCAGTATGACTAGCACAGCTTGTCGACATTATGAAATATCGAACGGTGCTTTCCTTTTAAAACAATAAGAATGAAGTTCATGCTGCTTCTTGTTTTAGGCTGGATCTGATAGTATCCACTGGGATTTTAGAGGAATAATAATAATAATAATAATAATAATGATAATAATAAAACAATTACAATGAAAGGGACAGAATCTTTAAAACTTCAAAAAGAACGCAAAAGCACATTAAATTAATAATAAATATACAACTCCTGTATTACATTGCATGTCTTCTGAAGTTACAAAATCTGAATCTGAAATTCAGGTCCATTTAAGAACTGAAAAACCGGATCAGTCTGATTAATTAACAAATCATTCAAACTGGTTTTGTGAACAGAATTAAATGGTTCATTAAAAAGATGACACTTATTGCACTGCATGACACTCATTTGTTCTCTTATCTGCACCACTTAAAAGTGTTTACTATGTTAGTGCGGTAAAAACGTGGCACGTCTGGTTTCATCCCACCACATAAAGCCACTTGAGGTCTGTGGTTACCACGTATGTCATGATTGAAGGTTACCTCTGACTGTAAGCGCATGTTGACTTGGTGTTTTGTTTTTTATTAGTACATTCAAAACCACACACGATATCATTCTCTTATGGACTTTAGACTATGATATCATATGTTTGAGCAATATGTCACCGACATTTTTCTGCACTGTTCCCATCTTCCCATCACACTGGTTATGTCATTTTCCCATGACTAAGGCATTCTCTCATCGGATTGTTTTACCTTGGCTGGGTCAGCACACTTAGAGACGGATCAGAGTTGTTTTGCAAACACCTGTGCATGTTCCCATTGGCTGGGGATTCAGGTGTGACTGTTGACTCACCAGAGACTGAATGAGTTGGTGTCCATTTAATAGAAACATGTTTAACAGTGCACTTTATAGAGGGCTGGCAATGACATAGCTAGTAAAATAGTATATAGCTTTAGTATAAACCATGAAGCTATTGCTGCAAGAGTGTGTAAAACTGCAAAAGTAGACTGTATGTCATAATTCATTGCTCTAGAATCCCTTGAACAAGTCAAACGGAGCAAATGAGGCATTTCATTGTGGTCCCATAATTGTCTTCGCAACTGTAACCCAATAAAACTGCATTATTTGAAAGCATCTTGTCTCACAAAGTAAGGCACAATTTCTACAAGCATCATACAAGCGCTTGTTGGGTTAAAAGTTTGGCAAGAGCGGTTCAAATCTGTTAAAATGTGAGTAGAATTAGATATTCTCTCTTCCTCTATTTCTCTTTGTAAACACCTGAGAATGACTAACCCACATCTCATGACTGGCCTGCAGTGCTGCGAGCCCTCTGTCCTGCATTCTCCAGGAAATGAGGCATGATGCGTGCCATCACCCAGACACAACCCCTCAGGAACCAGGAGCACAGATATAAAACAGACTGTTAGCTTAACACACAGCATAGCTGGGTCACAAGGAAAGGGTCAGCTTTCATATGATCTTAAATGAAATTTACATCAGGTTGAGGATACATCTCTTTGTTATTTCCTTTAGTTTAGTTGAGCTGTTAGTTTGTTTACCCTTCTTAAATATAATATGCAAACAATGGTTGCAGTAATGATTAATAAATATGAGAGTGTGCTCAAATGCGGTGGCGAGAGTGTTGTGTAGCAGCCAGTACAGTAGTAGTAGTAGTCCACCCCCAAGTGTCTGATATTCTAGTGACTAGATATGGCTCTCATAGTAGTCTATGAGAATTATAGCAGTTTTATTAGCCAGCAGACCAAAATCATGAGTCAGATTACATGTCGGTAGCACAAATGGTAATAACAAGTAACCTGTCAAAACTATGGAAAACCCTAACCCTAAGTATGAGCACTTTACAAACAGAGGTCTTCAACCCTGCTTCTGGAAGCCCACTGTCCTGCAGAGTTTAACTACAACCTTAATCAAACATACCTGAACCAGCTAATCAAGGTCTTTAGGATCACCTGAAAAATCACAGGCAGGTGTGCTGACATAGGGTGTAGATAAAGTTGCAGAAGGATGTGTCCCTGGAGCAGGGTTGAAGACCTAGGTGCCAAAACATAGCGATTCAAATACATTCACTCATTGTAAAGAGGCTAAATGTAAGCTAAAATCCAAGGGAAAAAAGATCTCTCTATTTTGATGCTACAGCGGTACACATCATAGGAGTCACATGTAAGTTTACGATAAATAAATCTAGACAGCACGTTGACCGACATTGAGCGCAAGTCCTATTTTCATTCTGGAGACACTTTACCAGTTCTCATCGTTCATGGTACTGACAGCTTACTGTGACAGAGCTCTAGCCATGATGAGTGGCAGACAGGAGACTGCTGGAGACTATCGCCTATGCCCCAGAGAGCTGCCAGACACGGCTTCCTATCAAGCAGGCCCGGAAGTAAGCCGAGTGTGTCAACACAGCACCGCACACCTCACTCATCCAAGCGCTAATGGATGAAGACGCCGCAGCTTTCCTCAGAGAGGGAAAAAGAGGAAAACACATAGCGGACATTAAACTCCGTTTCCCAGCAGGCCTAGTTTTGTAAACAACAAGTAGTACGACAACAAGACAAATCATTACTGACAGACAGATACCCAGGTGAGTTCTAATAGGAATCAACCACTTGTTGTTAACCTCTACAGTCACCTGAAATGACTTTGGGGTTCAGACAACATCTGAATGATTTTAGGCTAGCGTTCATCATGACTTCCTCAAAGTAGATAGACGATTCTGAGGTGATTCCTGTTACAGCTTGTGCAACTGTCCCTTCTCTCACTTTCCAGATGATGTCATTGCTGTAGAGTGATAGCAATACTTTTAAACTTCAGATGGACTACAGAAATGGAAGGATGAATAATCAAGTGTCAGGCTGAGCAGTAAATCAAGCTTTACCCAAAAGAACCAGCATGGAATTTTCTGACAAAGACTCGACGGCGTTGGATTGGCTTCCCTTGTGTGACTTACTTAGCGGCACAGGCCAAGCTCAATGAAGCAGCTCTCTGGGACTTTCTGAGTGGAGGTGCGAAAATCTGCGTCAGTGGGGCTGGGAGAATGTTGAAGTTTTCGTGCCAGGGGTCTGAGCTTCCTCTCGCACTATCAACCACTGACAGCCTCCACGATAAGACAGGGACAAACCTTGGCCCTGGATACTGCAGCTGGCTGGCTCAGTTAGCATTCCCATCAATTCCCTCTAATCCTGGTATTTAACTCTGTCCCCTGCCCTACCAAACCAGAGACCAGCTACATTCCTTTGCTAGCACACCAGGGCACTATATTTGAACAGAGAGCTACTCCCACAATGACCTAGCAACAATTTGCACAATTGCATCGGAACGACCAAAGTCCAATCCTACTGACGAGGCCATGCAAAGGAATGGTGCTAATTACATGCCATCACTTGTTCTTTTTTGGGCCACCTCTTGTTCATTCTGTCACTCCACCATTCACAGTTTATCTTTACCCTTTTAGTTTCCCACGTAAGCTGGGGTTTGCTCACATTAACTGACCCCTGCTTCCATTATGCTGCAACCTGTCCACAGAAAACCTCATCATGTGTACCACAGGTTACAACCTGAAAGTGATCCATCACCTGCTGATCCCATACGTTTCGGCAACAAGGGCCATTTCTGACAAGGCAGTTATTAGCGACACAGTCTACGCAAGGTAATTAACCACAATACAGCCTTGCAACATTTGTTCCGAATGGTTCCCCATCACCAGAGAAGCCATTTTCTCTCATTCTCAAGGTCAGATGGATGAGATGGCCCACCGTGCCACTGGAACCTGACAACAGGGTGCTGCAATTACTTCTGTCCTTGATATTTAATGGGGAATGAGTGCAGTAACCTTTAGTGTTTGCTTGCGAGACCCCCCTTCTCCCCAGCTTTCCCCTCCTCTGACTCTCTCTCTGTCCTCCGTGGAGTGGTCACAAAACAGAAGGATCACTTTGGAAAGACATGTGAAGTGTGTTTGCGTGCCAGGCGGTGCCGTGGGAGCAAGGGAGTGTGTATGCACACACACATACACTCACAGACGCTGCCAAATGGATGCATGTCAATGCTGTTTGGGTTGACAAGGCACTTACTTGTGGGCCAGAGGGTAGAAAGAAGTGCAAAAGTAAAAATAGTCGATCTGCTCTGCTAACTCTGCACTAGCGATGCAAAGAATTTGACATATTTTTCATCAAATTGTAAAACGTCTTTAGATTGCATTGTAAGGTCAGTGTACATTGCAGGGATAAATGTACTAGAGACTTGTAGAGAGAATTGTACTTGAAAGAAAGTTCCATAGTGTTACCATGGTCATGTGGACGCTACTGGTACTATGATGATATTCTTTCAAGTACCTTACCTTTTAAATACAGGGGCATATTTTAAACCCTATCAGATCATGAATATTAATTACTGTAGGTGATGTAACGTGATGTAACAGCAGTAGACCTAACTCTTTTGCTGATGGGCAGGCAAGTGTGCGCTAGCTATAACAGAATTACTATTCACCAATTGCACATTTGTTTAGTCTTCTCCTGGTGCAACCGGTTAACAGGTTCTTCTGCTTGGGTCTTAAATTTGTCATTTTATGTGATTGGGTACTATTTAAAATCTAATGTTTACTCTTAAAAGATAATGGAGTGTTATGCATACAGAGTACCACTAGTACTGCAGTAAGGGTAGTTACCTGATTTAGTTTCTTCGTAAATCATTAATGTTGACTATGACATTGTGTTTCTGTCAGCTAATACATTTCAGTTCATGTAGTTAATTATACAATTTGGACATCTGACAAGCACATATGCATACAATATAATGTGCATTGTGTTTTTGACGCTGATTATAACACAGCTAACAGCTAATTAACGTTCATGAACCCAATCAGAAGTGACTGTATTGCACACTGCCAGTGTTTAGGCAATTTAATGACAATGACAAATTTACTCAGTCCCTAGGTGAAGGAGAACTCTACACCATCTTCAATCTAAATACCTTCAGAGATAATACTGACAGACAAATCCATGGAAAATCTAGTCTTTCATCACCGCTCTCAGTCAAACGGATACCACGTACAATGTATTACAAAACAAAACATGTTCTCCAAGTAGTTGCTTTTCTCCTTTGCTAAATTCTAAGTTGGAACCGAGCCACAGTATGCAGCATGTTTGACAGCTTTAAAGATCCATTCCTCATTTTTGTACATTTCTAGAGTACTCTGCAAAAGACAGCTAAGAAAAATTCCCTTAATATCCCGCAGAAATGAGAAGTGCATTACATAACAGTGGCTTACCTTCTATCATCACCATATGCTGTGAGTGTTTACTTTAGCACATGTTTTCTCTGAATCCACAGGCATGAACACATAAAGATAGAGAATGATGATCAATGTTCCCAGCATTCCTGGGCATCATTGTCGTCATGCTCCACTGTGAACATACAGCCATGCAATTAATAACGTCAAACATGTATGTCTTATCTTTTTCACGCCATGTGTCAGTCAGGTAGCCATCACAATGAGGAATGTTTTACGATGGGACCTCTGTTTGATGTACATCTCATGCCCAGGACTGGATGAAATGTGCTTGATAGACGTTGTTGTTTTCACACTGCAACCATTTCTGAATGATGTGTCCTCATATATATAAAAAAATCTTGAAATTCAATCTAAAAAAGAAAATCTTTATTTGTATTTTTAAACCATATTAATATGTAGTTTAAAATATGATTAAGAATGTTCAGTTTTCAACACAATGGATATTTTTATTCAGACCTTTTGCTGCTTGTCTGAACAAAGCCATGTGGTTTCTTAACAAGATAAGGGATTTTTATCAGGTAATAAAAATAATCATTATTATTGTTATTATACTTCACCTCAATGTAAATACATGACAGCAATTATGATGTAATTACCGGTAAAGGTAAAACCACATGTGAAGTGATGTGAAGGGAATATTACATTCAAATGAAATCAATGACTTCTTATCCATTTTACTATCTTTTGGTTTTCTGCTCACTGCTTTTATTTTAAACTCCAGTGCAGAATCTACTGAAAATAACACTGAATTCCTACTTTTGAACAATGATTGTGGCTGACCATATTGTTTATGCTCTGTCTACATCTTCAGCCATTGTCCATTGACGTCTGGGTTCTTGAATGCGACATTTGATTCTCTGTGATAAACTTTTGACCTAAAAAGCTGATTGACCTCTGTGTGTTTAAGAAACAGAGGATTGAAAGACATCAATTCTTGGAGGTTTGGCAGTAGAAACATCAGATGTTGCATTCTGGTCTCTGCAAAGACTATCTTAAATGACCGTTATATCTAAATCTGGGATTAGTTTTCAAGACATATGTCTCTAAAGTAATTGGACATGTAATGTTTATCATCAGTTTGCACTGGATAAGTGATGTCTGTAGAACTCACTGAAATGCCTGTCTACTGCAATTACACACTGAGGTCACATATATCTGGTCCATCGCAAAATATGAAATGTGAAATAAAATGTGACTGCACAAAAATGCTTCATAAATCCATATGTGGCAGAAAACATCCCTTTTTGAAGTTCTGAAGTGCATCTTGTCATTTTCTGGTGTCTTCTTATTAGTCAATGTCCACTTGAGACACTAGGAGTGCTTGATGTACGATAATAGTTACATGTCTACAGGCTTGACGTGGTCACAGAGAGTAGATTAACATGCTTTTAACAAGATTTGTCAGTTTGCACTAGCTTGTTTTATTTCTTCAGAACATGATATTGAATATAAAAGACTGTAATCTTTACTGGCACAGGAAAAAGTCCTAAAAAAATGACTGACACTGCCAATTTGGACGGGATTAAAATCATCAGAGAATCTTCAGTAATTATTACATTACCCCCATCTCCCCATATAATAGGATATAAACTATTTCCATAGTAAACAACAAACCTGAGGGAACAAATTACTGTACTGTTTTGCAATCAAGATAAACTTGGCACGGCATCCAGATCGCTGACTTAGTGAAGGGCTATGAAATTAGACACTGGTGTTTAGAGCGGAATGTGTAATCTGTCAGTTTCCATACAGGGCTAATGTGTACCGTCACTAGGAGAGGACCAGCTCAGACTTGTTTCTAGAACATTGCAACAAGCATGTCGCTGTGTTCGCTGCAATGTCAGGTTGCGTTTCTGCTGGCTGATTTGTAATTCATGGTATTTGGGATCAGAAATACCTCAACTGCCACTATTTCCTGACATGCCGGCACCCTGCGAAGAAAACACCGGTATCCTGAGCTATTTTCAGGAATTTCCGTGATGTGCATGTGTCAAGCTCACATCAAGTCCTCTGGAGCGCAGGGTGACTGGTGATATTTTATAGGCAGTGCTTCGTTATCGGCTCATTGGTGATTCTTGCTGCAGGCACACACCATGCGTGTTCATAAGCGTGGATCTCACTCGGGCTTTGATGAGAAATCATTAGCACCAGGTCAGGACTGATGCTTCAACAGTCTCCTCGCTCGCTTAGATACTTTTTTGCTTTATCTGTTTTTCCCTGATAAAAAGAGGCATAGGATTGCATGAGACAGCGAGAGGTGCGCAGAAAAGACGGGTTGATTGCTAGTTGCCACTTCACTCAAATGCTTTTTAATTTTCAATATCGCCTGGGGGACAAAAAACGGAAAATAAAACCTTGTCTCTCAAATGACTGACAGTGAAGGAGCTGGAAACACGGGAGTAAAGGAGATTCACTGGCAGATATTTCAGAACAAATCACCTGCATAGAAGGCATATTCATCTTGGTCTTGATTCGTCCCACGAGGCCTCAGATCTGGCTCATTCCAAATCGTCTTATCAATTTTCCCATCCTCTTTCTCTTTCATCAGTCGTTCTACTCTGTTTCCTGGCCGAGAGGATGCTGCTGCATCATATTGCATCGCCATGGAGACATCCAGCCACATATGAGCCGCGTTATACGATTATTAATGACAAGGCATGAAGTACCCATATGAATATGTAGATAAGCCGGGTGCATATGGTTTTCATATGAACTGGATTGATTCCAATCTCTGACGTCTAGTTTGACTGATGGTGCCATCAGGGTTATTTAATATGCCTGAAGTCTGTTCCTCTCTGTAATAATGTTTGAGCGCAAACGAAGTCATCTGCTTTGACTCTAATTATTAGTAGGCAATCCATGTTTCTCCAATGACATTCATTGAAACGACTCCTCTGTACTATAAAAACCCAACAAACAAAACTCCCAGCATGCCCTACTTTCCGCAGCAAGTTTGTGAGTGTTTACTTGGTTCTGCTCTCCTTCTCTAAAGGGCACCTTCACTTGTGATGCAGCGAGAGAACATGGAGACATATACATGCGATGGCGTACGCGATAGGAGAAATGAAATATTACAGTGGGAAAGATCATATTTATTAAATCCCCTTGGCCGGGGCTGGACCTGAGCCAACTGTTGCTGTTCACTTCCTATCACCCATAACAAGTCTGTGGCAGATGAATGAGTGTGCAAGACGTTTATAAAGATAAAACTAGATTGCATATTAAGAGAGCATAAGGGACATCATATTAAAAACAGAAGCAATCTCAGTATCATCTAAAACACTGGGAACTTCCCCCACCCTCTTGTCATGGATTTTAGCGTGCATGCTAGCTGGAATATACTTGAATTGTTCCTTAAGGTCACCTAAAGGGGAATGAAAACTCTTTCTTTGATTGCACAACCGAGATTCATAGACTGTTTTCTTTCATTCTGAGCCACGATGCCATTTTTTAGGAGCCACTTACTCAATGTAGCAATGCTACTACCTACCTACTACATTTTAAAGGTGCTGTAAGTCATTTTTGGACTGTGCTGCAGCATAAAAATACATTAATATGTTTGCAGATATTTAGGAAACATGCTAAATTCACATACTTGTTTCTCTGAAAAACAAGACTTCACCCACTGACAATTTACCCAATAGTATTGGCTTATTGCAGCCATGGAAGCCAGAACTGGGTCAGAGATCACAGATTCTACCTGGCCTAAAAATCCCCGGCATCTGCCTAAAAAGCCCTATGACCAGAGGAATAATAAAACATTGATAAATCAACTCAACAACTTAGAGTGTAAAGCTTTTCACCTTCTATTGTCAGTTGCAATTGTTCCTGTTGCATGTCCTCAATCTGGCAACCCAAAACATTGAGTCTGAGGAGGAGGAGTACCCATTTCAACCGCTAGCTGTCAAAATTACATACCCCACCTTTAAGTAGTACAGCTGTTCTCAAAATACTATAATTTTCCTAGCAAGCTGGAGCAAAAGCATTGCTAGCCAACTAAAATCACAAGTTCTGTCATTACTATAGAGTTACAACAAACATTTGGCAACAGCATTGCATACTTGTTTGGTTGGAGCTACAGCTGGTTAGAAATAAACAAGATAACATGCAGTACAATCTATCTCTCTCTCTCTCTCGCTCTCTCTCTCTCTCTATACATTTAATCCTATATATTTTAGCGTGTCAACAATCAGTGGCATTTTTAAAGAGTGTGCATGTGCATAAATGAGAAAGCTGCTGACTTAATGAACACATGTATATGGGAGTAAGTGCACATGTACTGCATGTTAACGTGATAAAAAGTAAATGTTAATAACCTGACATTAATATAACAATCTGACATCAACTGCGAACTTGAAGTGATTCATTAGCAGAAATTATTTTGCCACCATCTGCGCGAGACGTCATTAACAACAGTCATATATTGTTGAACCAGCATGGTTCAAAGGACAGAGATGCAACCATGTTACTACGGTTTTGGGAAACAGTCATGACTAGCTAGTTAATTACTCCAATGATGCATCATACTACAGTGGTTAAACAGCGAGTTACGTCGTCGTACCGGAAGTGCACCCATGAGTGGTGTACAATTTAAAAGGACATTTTAAAATGTTGACGAAATTCAGAAACTGTTCGCTTAAATTTAAAAACTTGTGTTGTCACAGTCATATCAGATACACATATTTGTTTACTCCTCTAAAAAAAAAATAATTATATATATATATATATATATATATATATATACTGTATATGCTGTATCCATTTATATAACTGTCTTTAGCAACGTCTGACTGTAGTTTATCTGAGCTTGTAGCTTGGAAAAATGCAGTTTTAAAGTAGCATCTCCAACTCTTTTTTTTTTTTAGGTCCACATATGATAGTCGTAGATTTTTATTAAAGACTTTCCAGACATTGGTGAATGATTAAACCGTGTCACTCTTATTTCTGTTGTGAGCTGAGGCAGTAATGAGTATCATCAGGGTTGTTATCCACTCTGAGAGAACAGCTTTTGGTAAACAAGAGAAAACAGGCCTTCTACACATAAAATGCATTTGAGAGGCTGAGCGACGCTCGCAGCAAGGAGCATCAATTTGCCATCGTCTCCTTACATGCCTGAGTGCAGTAGACCACTTTCCCTGAAAATGCTCTCATGAAGCAGGAATCAACGGTGGTTGGAGATCAATGGGAGGCGATCTGCTCACTAAAATGTGTCTTGATTTTTTTCTTTTCCTCTTTTCTTATGTGGCT